AGCCCTGGCCAGTGTGGCTCAGTTGGTTGAGCATCATCCTGTGCGTTGAGGGATTGCCTGTTGATTCCTGGTCAGGGCACATATCCAGATTGTGGGCTCTATCCCCAGTCAAGGGCCTGCAAGAGACAGCCAGCCAATCGATGTTTCTCTCTCTCTCTCCCCCTTGACCTTCCTCTCTCTCTCAAAATCAACTTTAAAAAATATTTAACAATTCAATTAGTGGTTACCCTGGAAACTTGAGAATGCATTAGAGATAATCACAGGATCCCCAACTTAATACTGCATTTTGATTTTATATGTGCTGGGGTTTTCGTTTTGTTTTTGTTTTTTTGTATTTTTTTTTTAATTTTTATTTATTGATTTTAGAGAGAGGAAGGAGGGAGGGGAAGAGAAACATTGATTTGTTCCACTTACTTATGCATTCATTGGTTGCTTCTTGTATGTACCCTGACCGAGGGATCTAACCTGCCACTTGGGCATATCAGGACCAACTGATCTACTCGGCTAGAACTACTTGTGTTGTTTTTTTAAGATATAAAATTACCTTTTATGAAGCTATGTCAATCATATTTTTTTTGCCTTGATGTCATTCTTATGAAGTTCTTTCCTCAATTCAATTACATATTAACCTATATTTTCTCCCAGCACTTTTATGGCTTGACTTACTTAAAAAATAGTAAATACATTTGAATGATAATGATTATGATGTGATAGGCTTATTGAATTTGGCTTATTATTGGTGAGGGTCTTCAAATGTGTAATTACCATAGGAAAACTACATTCTTTTACAGATTGGGTGGTGCAGATTTCTTGATGGAGTTTATATTTTAAAAATCTGTTTTCCATAAATTATAAATATAAATGGATCATGTAAATGTTTAATTTTTGTTCTAAGCATTAGCAGTTCTGTAATTTATACTCTTTTATATACATTCATTTATTATTGATATTTAGAGAGGAAGGGAGAGAAACATCAATATGAGAAACATTGATCAGCTGCCTCCTGCATGCCCCCTACCAGGGATTGAGCCTGCAACCCAGGCATGTGCCCTGACTGGGAATTGAATCAGCAGCCTTTCAGTGCACCAGACAGCACCCAACCAACTGAGCCACACTGGCCAGGGCTGCTTCTTTATTTTAAATAAGTTGTTGTGGACATACTCTTTAGGTGTCAGAAAGCCTATAAGGCACCCCAGCTGTTTTGGCTAGAGCGTTGACCTGTGGACCAAAGGGTACCAGGCTCGATTCCAGTCAAGGGCATGTACCTCAGTTGCAGGTTCCTCCCTGGCCCGGGCCCTGGTAGGGGGCGTGCAGGAGGTAACCAACCAATGTGTTTCTCTTACATCGATATTTCTCTCTATCTTTCCCCCTCTCTTCCACTCTCTCTAAAAATCAATGGAAAAATATCCTCTGGTGAGGATTAAAATAAAAAAGCCTATAGGACAATTTGAAATTTGTCCCTTTTCTATAATTTTTATCCATATATTGCTTTTATTTTTCTATAATTATAGTATTAGTAATTTTATATTATTTTTATGTAAAATTAGATGAAAAGTGTTTTTTCCAAGTAGCTGTACTATGCTCATAGGGATAATTTTTAGGGATTATAAAGCATTTCACTAGTGGCTAGCTATACCAGAATTTTCCCCTTATTGTTGGGCATTTAATTTGTTCCAGTTTTTGCTTTTATGAATAATGCTGGAATGAGCATATATACAAATAACTTTTTATATTACACATTTTTGCTTTTGTGTGATAGCAGGTAATGCTTGCTTTTTATATTTTAACAAAGGTACTACCAAATACTACCTTGTTTGAATTCTGTGTGAATACTGAGCTGTCACATTAATTTAAGAACTTCTTTTTTTTAATCTACAGAAATTATGGAGAAGTTTAGTGAGGAAGGAATGCCTGATCTTGCCCATGTCATGCGCATCTTGTCTGCAGAAAATATCCCAAATTTGCCTCCTGGGGGAGGTCTTGCTGGCAAGTAAGTAGAATAAAAAGACTAATTTTGTGTTTATTTATAATTAATAATTAAATAATTTTGGGTAAGAAGTGCATCAGTTATCTAAAGATGAAATGGGTTGATAGTTTGTATACTAGAGAAGAACTAAAATTTTATCCAAAAGAGATTTTTTTAAAGAAATTTTCATACTCTGAGGATGAAGGTCCTTCTTTCCTTGGTAATTGAGAACATAATGTGTTGTGCTGGATCAAATTCTGTGAAATGTAGAAACTGTTCTTAGCAAGTGTTTTGTGTGTCAATTAATTTTTGAGTCACATAGTCAAAATGATGTATTATTTATTTAATTTTTTAAATATATTTTTATTGATTTCAGAGAGGAAGGGAGAGGGAGAGAGAGAAACATCAATGATGAGAGAGAATCATTGATCGGCTGCCTCCTGCACGCCCCCTACTGGATGAGGATCCAGCCCGCAACCCAGGCATATGCCCTTGACCGGAATCAAACCTGGGAACCTTCAGTCTGCAGGCCAACGCTCTATCCACTGAGTCACACTGGCTAGGGCAAAATGACATATTATTTTAAACACTCAGAAGTGTAATAATTGTAATTTAATAAAACTAAATTGTAATTTTTTTTAGGCGCAATATTATTGAAGCTGTTTATAGTAGGCTGAATCCACATAGAGAAAATGATGGGGTAAGTTTTATTTTATTTCTTAAGCATTTAAAATAATTTTATAATGTAAATATTACTAGATATGAGTATATTCACATAATGAAATCTATAATAAATTACTACTGCTTTTCATTTTAAGGAATCAATTAAAGTTTAAGGAAATGTGTTGAAATGGAAGTAGAGGTAAAGTTCTGTATTGCAGATAGGTTTGTTTTCACTTAATGGGTATCAGATACCTTTGTGTTTGAGCTGTACTTACTTTTCCCTGTATGTCTGCCTTTTCTTCTCTTTCTCCCTTAAAGCTTAATTTTGAGACAAAGAATATGCTTTCAAATATCTCCGTTTCTCCTTAAGCAGGCTTCTGCCATTACTAGAAGTTAGTGATAGTAAATGTTATTTTAATGACCAGACCTTCCAGTGCCCCTGTGTGCCTATTTGAATACGTGAGGATAATTTCTTTCTAATCTTATTGTGCTGTGGGTTTATGTGTTGAAGTGAGATAACCATTTTTGTTGTACCCGGCTGTGCCCCCTCAGAGCAAATCTCTTTATCCCTTTTACCTTCCTTAGAAATACTAATAAGCTGTCAACTGCTGCTCTGTAGTTCTAGTTCTGTCGTTTTTTAATTTTAGGACTAGTTTATCTTTTTTTTTTTTTAATTGCCCTAAACTTTAAAGTCAGTAATTCAAATAAGTATTTTCTCACAGGATTTTTTTAAGTTTCTGGACATCTAAAAAATTGATTACTTAATTTTTAATATGTATGCTTTCAAGATTTAAGAGAACCAAACTTAGGCATGAAACTTCTTGAGAAAAAAGTAGACTCACCTGTCTCTAGCTTCTCTTGGCAGGTCTTGAGAGAGACATCAGGCACTGGTAGAAATTATGTATAATCTCAATTGCATTGTTTTCCAGGGTTTATTATTGCATAGCAGTATCATATAATTTATCTTTTCTTAACAATAAAAGTGTCTTGTCAAGGAAAATTTTACATATTAATAGATTTTATTTCTTAGTCTAGAGCAGTGATTCTGAGTCTTTTGTGGCAATTACCTCAAAATATTAAGAATTATATTAAAGCTGTGAAAACTAATCCTATCCTATCTAATAATAGAGAAACATGGTAATTAACCGTAACTTCGCTACCCTTCCCATTGGCTAATCAGCAAGATATGCAAATTAACTGCCAACCAAGATGGCGGCCGGCAGCCAGGCAGCTGAAGCGAACAGGAGGCTTGCTTGCTTCAGTGATGGAGGAAGCCAAGGTTCCCCGCCTGCCGCTGCCGGCCTCTGAGCTGCAGTCTAAGAAACAATGTTGCAATTATAGAAGCTAAACAATCCCCAGAAACCTGCTTTCAGCCGGCTGGCCTCGGAGCTGGAGCTGAAATAGTATTTCAATTATAGAAGCCAAACAAACCCAGATCAGCAGCCGAGGTCTCAGAGCTAAAGCCGGCTCTCAGTTCCAGTGACAGCCATAGAAGGTAAATAAATCCCAGAATAAAAAAAA